GAGCGCGCGTAGGTATCGTTCACCAACTCGATACATGCAGCGGAGTTGCGAGTAGAATATATTAGAATAGATCGTAGAGATAATATCGATAGAGAACGAAGCGGGGATCGTGATCGAAGCGGCATTTTTTTTGGTTGGAATACGAGCGGCTGAATACTGACCAAGCGGAATAAAAAAGATAAAACTACTTAAATTGTGCGCCTTTTAGTGATTCTCGTGCTCCCTACAAATTCAGAAGTGGGATCAGAACCATAGTCGCCACAAGCAAATTACACATTTTTTTTTTCTTCAACCCTTAATCGACGCCGGCTGCAATTAAAACAAAACTAAAAATTCCAAGTGAAAATGTCGGATTTGGTTGGAGCAGAGCAATACTCAGCGGCACAACTGCGGGAGTGGCTTGAGTCCCTTAACTTGCCAAAGAACGGGACCAAAGCCGCCATGGCAGCCCGTTTAAATGAAGTCCCACTGGAAGCACGCGGACAGGGGCCGCCAGCAGCAGACATGTGCGAGAGCGAGTCGGAAAACGAGGTGTTCCAGAACAATCCAGATTCGACAAAAAACCACGACGCCAGTCAGCATTCTAACGGTGAGAAAAAAGGAGAGACCGATAATGCGACGTCGGCCATCGTATCGCCGACAAACGACAGCTACAACAACGAACCAGAAGCACAAAAGGAGCAACGAAAAGCAACGGATCTAGCAAACGAAATCGAGGCCTTGAAGTTACGAATTGAGTTGCTAAAGCTGCAAAAGGGAGGAGAGAGCGAGAATATTCCGCTGTGTGCAGGCACGTCTGTCAATATTGAGTCTAGCCTCTCGCGACTCAATGTTGCGAAAGACATGTTGCCAAACTACCACGGCAACACCTCTGGCAACAATAGTGACGTCACTGCTTGGATCGCGCAATTCAGAGCGACGGCAAAGATAAACAAACTGTCGTATGAGCAGCTACTGATGCTGCTGATGTCAAAGCTGAAAGACAATGCCCTAATGTGGCTGCATTCTGAGGTACAGCACATGTCCATGCCAATTGATCAACTATTAAACATAATGGAGAATACATTTCAACTCAAGGAAAGCAAGCTATCACTCCGCCGCAAGTTTGAGTCACGGTCGTGGATGCGCGACGAGGAGTTCGTCGGCTACTTCAACGACAAAATGATGCTAGCGTCTCGCATAGCCATCGACGCCGAAGAGTTAATCGACGGCATCGTCGAGGGTATCCCAGATGAGACACTGCGCCGTCAGGCCCATATGCAGTGTTTCGTCGCGCCGTATCAGCTGCTGAGGGCTTTCGAGAAAGTCATGCTGCCGAAGAAGTACACGCCACCAGGAGCAAGGAGCATCTCGGGAGAGTCTTCGTCACTGGTCCGCTGCTATAACTGCAACTCGTTGGGCCACATGGCAGTGGATTGTCGCAAGCCCAAGCGTGAAAGAGGAGCATGCTACGGATGCGGCAGCATGAACCACCAGATAGCACATTGCGGTGAACGGAAAGATAAGGTACAGAACGAATACATCCGTAAATTTAACATATTCATTAAGAATTTTAGTAATAAATGTTTTTTCTTAGACTGCCTCATCGACTCAGGGAGCCCAATAAGTTTTGTAAAGATCTCGTGCCTCTCAAATGGACACAATATTAATCAAGTAGATTTAAGTTCATATCACAACCAAGAAACTAAAATTAATGCGACAGAAGGCCGAGAAGGCGAGTTAAGTTCATGTAATTCACAGTATGGCAATGAAACGAAGAAGCCTACATTTGTTATTAATAAAAATACGAGCCACACATACGTTGGTCTTAACAACAGTAGACTTCGTGTTTTCGGACAAGTTTCCGGTTTTGTAATTTTTAATGAAGAACAAATTAACTTTGAACTATTAGTAGTGGCAAACGAGTCGATGGGCCATGAGGCTGTATTAGGTAGAGATTTTATGAGATTATGTAAATTTAAGATTGTAAGTGACATTTGCAAGGAAAATGAGAGTGGGGAAGAGAACGTTGGCAAAGCTGAAAATGACGATTACGAAGAAGAGGAGTGTGAAACGGAAGACGAAGAAGAAGAGAGAAATGAGTGGTTAGGGAAGAATGAGTGTGAAATAGAAAATGAGTGCGACATAGAAAATGATTGGGAAAGAGAAAATGAGTGTGAAAGAGAAAATGAGTGTTTAGAGGAAGACGAGTGCGAAGAGAAAAATGAGTGTGAAAGAGAAAACGAGCGTTTAGAAGAAGAGTGTGTAATACATAGTGAGTGGTTAGAAGAAAGTGAGTGTGAAGTAGAGAACGAGTGTAAAGGAGAAGAAGAAGGTAAAGCAGAAGACGAGTACGTAGGAGAAAATGAAGGGGAAGGAGGAAACAAGTGTTTCGGAGGGAAAGATGGTGCAGCAGGGGGGCGGTTGAAAGACATTGATACATGCGAGAACATCCGGGTCAACTTTTGCGATCTGCCGCACGAATATCCCGCCGTAAAGCACGAGTGTGACCTGAAAGTAGGTACAGACTGTAACCAGGAACTAGTAGAAAGGCTTATGAAACTGTTCAGAACGGACTATGTGGACGCAATCAGACCAGATTTACCGGAAACAAAGTGGGAGATGAAATTAAGTTTCGAACACGAAAAACCGTTCCATTGTCCCCCCAGAAGGCTGTCGTATAGCGAAAAGGCGCAAGTTCAAAAGATGTTAGACGAGTACACAGAGAAAGGCTACATCAGAGCCAGCGAGTCGGAATATGTCTCGCCCATAGTACTAATAAAAAAGAAATCAGGAGAGTTAAGGTTATGCGTCGATTATCGCACGCTCAATAAGGGAATGATAAAAGACAACTACCCGACTCCATTGATAGACGACCTGTTGGACAAACTGGCAGAAAAAAGACTGTTCACTAAATTAGACTTGAAAAACGGGTATTTCCACGTTTTCATGCACAACGACTCAGTCAAATATACCTCTTTCACGACGCCGATGGGACAATACGAGTGGTTAAGAATGCCATTTGGACTGCGCAATGCGTCCGCGGTTTTTCAAAGGTTCACTAACAAGATTTTCGCTGACATGGTAAAAGAAGACAAAGTGATAATATACATGGATGACATAATGATAGCGACAAAAGATAGTGACAGTCACATGGAAATTCTACAGGAAGTGATGAAACGGTTGATAGCAAACAAACTCGAGCTGAGGTTAGATAAATGCGAATTTTTGCAGTCAGAAGTCAAGTACCTGGGTTATTCTATTTCTGGTAACGGGATTAAACCGGACTCCAGAGGATTACAGGCAGTGAAAGAGTTCCCAGTTCCAATGAAAACGAACGAAGTACAAAGTTTTTTAGGGCTATGTTCTTACTTCAGGCGTTTTGTGAAGGATTTTTCGACGAAAGCCAAGCCTCTTTATGATCTCGTCAAAAAAGACAGAAAGTTTGAGTTCGGAGCCACAGAATTAGAGTGTTTCGAGCAGCTAAAGAATAACTTGTTGGAAGCGCCAATATTGGCACTTTATAATCCCCTAGATCCAACAGAGTTACATTGCGACGCGAGCGCGTTAGGGTTCGGAGCGATACTAATGCAGAAGAAAAGCGATGGCAAGATGCACCCAGTGTTTTATTTTTCCAAAAGGACGACAGTCACCGAAGCAAAATATCACAGCTTCGAACTAGAGACTCTAGCGATAATTTACTCCCTTCAACGGTTCAGAATATATGTTCAAGGCATACCATTTAAGATAGTGACAGACTGCAATGCACTAACCATGACACTGAACAAGAAAGAACTGAATCCACGCATCGCCCGCTGGGCTTTAGAGTTACAGAATTATGACTACAAGTTAGAGCACAGGGCCGGGAGCAGAATGCAACACGTGGACGCTCTTAGCAGAGTTACACAGATACTGACGATAGACACGAACACTTTTGAAGAAAACCTAATAATATGCCAGAACAGAGACGACAAACTGTTAAAGTTAAAAGAGATATTGCAGGAGTCCGAGCACAAACAGTACGAGATGAGAAACGGAGTGATATATAGAAAGAATGATAACGATACCCTTCTGTTCTGCGTACCCGAGGAGATGGAAAGCCATGTACTCTATAAATACCACGATGAGTTAGGACACATTGGAATAGACAAAATGACCGATGCGATATCGAAGAGTTACTGGTTCCCAAGCGTTAGGGAAAAAACCAAAAAGCACATAGAGAACTGTCTCAAATGCTTAGCGTATTCGGCGAAGCACGGAAAGGAGGAAGGGTTTTTGCACAAGGTACCAAAAGGATCGGTTCCATTCGATGTGGTACATATCGACCATTTTGGACCAGTTGACAAAAGTAGAGCGAACAAGCATATATTAGTAGTTATAGACGCGTTCACCAAGTTTGTAAGGCTTTACACAACAAAAACCACTAACTCAAGGGAAGCAGTTAAGGCAATGAACGATTATTTTCGAGCTTACAGCAGACCGAGATGCATCGTATCAGACAGAGGAAGCTGTTTCACGTCAAAAGAGTTCGGGGATTTTTTAGAGCAGAACGACGTTAAGCACATAAAGATAGCTACAGGTTCGCCACAAGCCAACGGCCAGGTAGAGAGAGTTAACAGAAGCTTAGGACCAATGATCGCAAAGCTCGTCGACCCGGAGAAAGGTTTACACTGGGATACAGTGGTACAAACAGTTGAACACGCAATGAACAACACAATTCAAAGGACAGTTAATGAACACCCGAGTCGTATGTTATTCGGGGTCAGGCAGAGAGGCGAAGTGTCAGATCTACTAGGTGATTGTTTAAAAGAGCTAACCGAGCAACGAGTGACCAGGGATTTAGAAAAAATTAGATCAGAAGCAAACGCTCATCAGGAAAAGGTACAGGACTACAACAAACAGGCAGCAGACGCAAGACGGAAAAAGCCACATGTATACAAAGACAACGATCTAGTCATGGTGAAAAACTTCGATACCCATATAGGGGTATCTAAAAAACTTATTCCGAAGTTCAAAGGGCCGTATAGGATAGCTAAAGTGTTAAGAAACGATAGATACGTATTGGAAGATGTAGAAGGATTTCAGCAGTCTAGGATCCCGTACAAAGGAGTGTGGGCGGTAGCGAATATGAAGCCATGGCTGGGAAAAGGAAACGAGGCAAATGTCACAGGGAAAAATGACAGACAAAATGATTGTAATATATAGATTAAGGATAGTAAAATAAGAATGAAACCACCTGTTAAAAATAAGGCCAACAAGAAGCCAAGGCAACTGTAAGGAGTTCAGGAGCACTCCGGTCAGGATGGCCGAATTGTAGTAATATAAGTAGAGTACTGTAAATACTTAGAGAGACACCATTTAAATATTAAGGAGCGCGCGTAGGTATCGTTCACCAACTCGATACATGCAGCGGAGTTGCGAGTAGAATATATTAGAATAGATCGTAGAGATAATATCGATAGGGAAGGAAGCGGGGATCGTGATCGAAGCCGGCACTTTTGGTTTGGAATACGAGCGGCTGAATACCGACCAAGCAAAAATAAAAAAAGATTAAACTACTTAAATTGTGAGCCTTTTAGTGATTCTCGTGCTCCCTACAACTATAAAATTGCTAACAGCGAAAACAAAAGTAAAGCCTATAAAAAATCGGAACACACTACCCAAGCTGGAATAATGTGCCGCTCATTTGCTAGCTAAGCTCATGAACCGTGCAGCAGGATCAATACCACAAGCTAATGCAATGTATGCCTGGAGCGACTCAACAATTACTTTAGCATGGATTCGCGAAAGTAAAAACAAAGACAGGTTCATAAGGAAACGAGTGGACGAAATAAAAAGCAACGTGCCACAAGCAATATGGCATCAAGTTAGCACAAAGGACAAGCCCGCTGACAGTGCATCACGAGGAATCTCTCAAACCAAATTACAAGATCTACGTATTTGGTGGGACGGCCCAAGTTGGCTGCACTTATCACAAGACCAATGGCCAAAAACGTCAAACGAACATACGGAGCATAAATTTACATTTGTAAATTTAACGAGAAAGAACGTGTGAGTCACTTCTGGGGACGCGACTCTACTTATACCCGTACTCAGTCAGTATATACATTTTTGAGCATATGATTTTTTTAGAATTTTGGAATAAAAAAAAAAATTTTACATTTTACATTTTTTTGCTACATCTGTTATCTACATATACATATACAATGTATATTCTACATCTAACATGTACATGTACCATTTATGTTCTACATCTCCTTCGCTAGGGGTTGCTCGCGCACTGAACGCGGCAGAGTGTGCGAGCTTGGGTGATCATATTATGTTTCACTCAAGTTGTGTCTGGGACTTTGTTTACGTAACTGCAAGAAAGTGTTACAGTGTATATTCTTTAAGTACCGTTGGTACAGTGGGTACTAACTATATGCGTATACTACATCTCCCTCCTTTTAAGAAATAACGTAATATAATGAAGTTATTTCAAACAATATTTTCATCCTTATGGATTAAGGTATATGTTAATATAATCTATATGAATTTGTTATACCCGTACTCAAAAAAGAGTTAAGGGGTATATTAGATTTGTGGTAAAAGTGGATGTGTGTAACGCAGAGAAGGAAACGTTACCGACCCCATAAAGTATATATATTCTTGATCAGCATCAATAGCCGAGTCGATATAGCCATGTCTGTCTGCCCGTCTGTCTGTCTGTCTGCCTGGCCGTCTTGTTGAGGGCCTAGATCTCAGAGACTATAAGAACAGTATCGTAGAGAATGCCCATATCTTCCAGATTGTCGCATCTGGATCAGATCAGATCATAATTATAATAATAATAATAATAATGTTACTTACCATGTTACTCCTTTCCTTCTATTAATGAACCGACGAATATATGCAATTTTGCCTACCACTTTCATATACGATGACGAGGATGGGATTGTGTTCGGCACGAGACTATTGTTTTCAGACAGGACTTGAAAATGTCTGCCTGTGGATTCCAAATCAGACCAAGAGTTTTGCAATCGTGCTAATCTCCACTCGAAATAACCAGATTCTCTTTCTTATTGTCACCTATTTGACAATTAGCAGTCCACTTAGTCAGCAGAAATCCGAATGGATCTAGGATTTCAAGTAGCTGTTGACGTAATATCCGTAGTTCGGATTTCGTATCTGCGCCTGTAAGAAGATCGCCAACATAGAAATCTGAAGCAAGAGACTTTGAGTCAATTGTATGCGAATTTAAATCAGTGCCGCTCAGATACTTCAAGCACCTGACAGCAAGAAATTGTGCCATAAGTTACCGTATTGTCCATTGCATGCGATGATCCTATTGGGCTTTGAGGTGGCTCAGAGGGGGCCTAGCTGAGGCCACCGGACGGGTCGCGGGTTGCGGAACGGCCTACCCCTGGGGGTAGGTCAACTGTGAATAGGCGGGCAACCCAAAGAGAAGCAACTAAGTTGGCTCTGAAGGGGAGTACCGAAATAAGCAGTCCCGGACAGCCAGTGGGTGTTCGCGAACTACCACCAATGACGATTCGCTTGTGGTGCCGCCTCTCATTAAGTAGCTCACACACTCCCATCCCTACACATACCTACCCACATCCCAACCCCAACACTCACCTCACACCGGGCCGGACTAAGGTGTCATTCGACCCGTGCTAAGAGTCAGCCTGGCTGGGGGCCCGGTATAAAAACAAGCCCAGTCGCGAACGGAGAGCTCAGGGACTTGGCAGCCCCTGTTCTAAATATGCCTTACCCGGATAAAGTGGAGTTTTGCCGGGGTGGACCGTTCCCCTTCTCTGCAGCTCGAAGGAATTATATGAAAAAATACGAAAACACAAATAAGAACAAAAATGAGAAAGGCAGCGGCCCAAAGGCCTGGCCCGATCCACTCAGAGGCAGGAAATACCTGCACGGTGGAAGACGCGGGTATGAACCCGGGTGGGTCCCATCCCAAATCTGGCATGGGTGGAAAGTCAACACCCAAAACTGATACCATGGAAGGGCAGCTAAGCAATATTGCGGCTGCCCAACCTTCCGGTGAAGCTGCGGGTGATGGCTTGCCATCAACCAGTGTCCAAGCCAAAAAATTTAGTTATGCCGAAAAGAGTAGTGTTGGGCACATAATCCGTCGGCAGAACGCCAGCACAGAAGTCAGTCCAACATCGAACTGGTTGAAAAAGGTGGAATGGGCCTCGGCAGTGCTGCCCAACTTCAGTGTGGAGCCACAGAAGGTGGCTGCACATCCAAAAGGCAGCGCTCGCAAGAGACGCCCGGACCTGCCGCGAAGCGCTCCAGAGTGCTACCAAACGTATCCTTCGCGCAGATTGAAGAGAAGAGGACGCTGATAGACGTTCTCGACAACGGCAGCGCGGAGGGGAAAATACCCAGAAGCCAATGGACGTGGGTGGAAGCGGCACTGGCCGACCACTGCTTCGAGCTTCTCGAGAAGGATCCCGGGCCACCTCCAGTCTGCAAAGACATGGGATGGTTCCAGGGAAGCATCAAAGTGATAGACTGCGAAGATGAGCGCTCCGTGAAGCTATACAAAGCTGCGGTGGCGCAAATCGGAGCAGTCTACGCTGGGGAAGAGCTCGTCGCTGTTGACTGAAGCGAGGTGCCCAGTAGTCCAAGGGCTCGTATATGGGTGCCTCCCACTTTTAAGGAGCCCGAGAGGATCCTCAGGATGTTGCAGAGATGCAACCCAACCTCAGACTGGAAGGTGGTCAAAGTTGAGGCATCAAAAGGCCCCACTAACCAGGCAGTGATAGTCCTAAATAAGGAGTCACTAGCCCCAATCGAGGCAGCCAAGGGAGAGCTCAACCTCGGGTTCAGCTCGGTGACCATGAAGGTCTACAAGTCGGATACAACACAACGCCTCAAAATCGAGCATCAGCTCCGTCTCCGAGGAGTAGCTTTCCAGGGCCGGCTCCAGGCTTACGTCGGGTGCCTCGATCTCCGAGGCAACGTCCTGCTCAGCTGGGTTGTTGACAGGACGCGCCTCGGCCGCTGCATCCGACTTGTAGACCATCATGGTCACCGAGCTGAACCCAAAGTTGAGCTCTCCCCTGGCTGCCTCGATCGGGGCTAGCGATTCCTTATTTAGGACTACCACTGCCTGATTTGTGGGGCGCTTTGATGCCTCCACTTTGACCACCCTCCAATCTGAGGTTGGCAGTGTGGGGTTGCATCTCTGCAACATCGTGAGGATCCGCTCGGGCTCCTTGAAAGTGGCCGGTACCCATATACGGTCCCTTGGCCTACTGGGCACCTCGCTCCAGTCCACAGCGACGAGCTTTGCCCCGGCATAGACCTCACCGATTTGCGCCACCGCAGCTTTGTATAGCTTCACGGAGCGCTCATCTTCGCAGTCTATCACTTTGATGCTTCCCTGGAACCATCCCATGTCTTTGCAGACTGGAGGTGGCCCGGGATCCTTCTCGAGAAGCTCGAAGCAGTGGTCGGCCAGTGCCGCTTCCACCCACGTCCATTGGCTTCTGGGTATTTTCCCCTCCGCGCTGCCGTTGTCGAGAACGTCTATCAGCGTCCTCTTCTCTTCAATCTGCGCGAAGGATACGTTTGGTAGCACTCTGGAGCGCTTCGCGGCAGGTCCGGGCGTCTCTTGCGAGCGCTGCCTTTTGGATGTGCAGCCACCTTCTGTGGCTCCACACTGAAGTTGGGCAGCACTGCCGAGGCCCATTCCACCTTTTTCAACCAGTTCGATGTTGGACTGACTTCTGTGCTGGCGTTCTGCCGACGGATTATGTGCCCAACACTACTCTTTTCGGCATAACTAAATTTTTTGGCTTGGACACTGGTTGATGGCAAGCCATCACCCGCAGCTTCACCGGAAGGTTGGGCAGCCGCAATATTGCTTAGCTGCCCTTCCATGGTATCAGTTTTGGGTGTTGACTTTCCACCCATGCCAGATTTGGGATGGGACCCACCCGGGTTCATACCCGCGTCTTCCACCGTGCAGGTATTTCCTGCCTCTGAGTGGATCGGGCCAGGCCTTTGGGCCGCTGCCTTTCTCATTTTTGTTCTTATTTCGGTACTCCCCTTCAGAGCCAACTTAGTTGCTTCTCTTTGGGTTGCCCGCTTATTCACAGTTGACCTACCCCCAGGGGTAGGCCGTTCCGCAACCCGCGACCCGTCCGGTGGCCTCAGCTAGGCCCCCTCTGAGCCACCTCAAAGCCCAATAGGATCATCGCATGCAATGGACAATACGGTAACTTATGGCACAATTTCTTGCTGTCAGGTGCTTGAAGTATCTGAGCGGCACTGATTTAAATTCGCATACAATTGACTCAAAGTCTCTTGCTTCAGATTTCTATGTTGGCGATCTTCTTACAGGCGCAGATACGAAATCCGAACTACGGATATTACGTCAACAGCTACTTGAAATCCTAGATCCATTCGGATTTCTGCTGACTAAGTGGACTGCTAATTGTCAAATAGG